GTCCTTTTTCTCCCAATCTCTCAGGTTTTGTAAGGTTTCCAATGGCTTCAGATCTTTTCTGTGTGATGTATGCACGCGAGTGCAAGTACGGAGCTCCTTACTTCTCCGCCATCTTGCCCCCATCTTCTCCAGTTGTTGCATTTTTAAAGAATGCTGATTCTTGGGCCTTCTAGTATTTACTACTTACACTGTAAAAAATGATTTTTTTCAAAAATTTATAATATGAGGGTCATTTGAAAAGAAATTATTAACAAGGGAAGAACATGATAATGTGGCACACTTGGCCAGTCCACATTATAAAATACTTATGTTCATTAAACACAAGACAAAAATTAAGCAAAGTGGAAAGGTAATATTTTCTTTCCCTAAGTTTCAATAAGAGAGAAATATTGGACATTAACAACTGAGAGTTTTCCTATCCTTGTACCATGAATAGCCACTAATTAGAGAGCATCTGAGCACATCTGAAAGACAAGTTGAAAGCTGGAATGCATAAACCAAGGCCAAAAATTGGCAGAATCTTGCAGAGAGTCAGCAATCCTATGTTACCTACACTGGGAATTTATGAGGAAACAGGAATTCTGCCAACTTTATGTGGCTTCAGGGATAATTGTACATTTAAATCAAGACTCTGCATCTGATAAAAAGAAAACCATACATTGTATGCAGATGCACCAAGATTTTGCATCATTTTCCATCATTGTTCCAATTGGAATCTTTTTCCAGATTTTCAATTGAAAATTCTACAAAGTAATAGCATGCTAGTAAAGACTTAATTTTCATAAACACAACAGTATTAAGAACAAATGTCCCTGGATTCCAATAGCTTGTACCCTAAAAATGAGAATTTCAATAGCTACTTAATATAAATAGGTATCTAGTGGAAATTCCCTAATAATATTCTCACCTCCTAATTTATCTATCATATATATATAGTCAAGGATTTGAAAACAAATATTTTTAGGGGCCAGTCTCAAATCATAAACCAATAAAGCCACCTAGATATGAGATTCTAAGAAGTGATGTTAATCTAGGGATTGGGAAACTATGGCTTATGATCCAAATCTGGCATCCTTGGTTTGTTTTTTGTTTTTGTTTTCTGGTTTTTTTTGTGAGTAAAGCTTTACTGAAACAAAGCCATATCCATATATTAAGATATCATTTGTGGCTACTTTTGCACTACAGTAGAAGAATTGAGTAGTTGAGACAGAAATCATATGAAGCACAGAGTTAAATACTTCCAACCTGGCCCTTTGCAGATAAAGTTCTGACCCCTGCCATAGACTATGGTGAGCTGTAGAGCATATGCTTTTCATAAAAACATTCATATTTAAGCAATGATCAATCCAAACATTTCAGGCCAGATTGTAGATGGCTGGCCTGTGCTGGAAAAAGAATGACTCTACCATTCTTAGTCAGCCTTGTTATTAACTTCCTGTGTGACCTTGAACAAGTCACCAATTCTCCTCTAGTAAGAAATGAGGTTGTGGTACAGAAGGTCAAATGGTAAAAAATAGCATGGTCTTTAAGGAAAATGTGAAAGTAAAGCCAGAGAACTATATTCAAAACAGTCGTAAACACAAGGAGAACCTAAAGTCAGTATTGGGAGCTGAGATGCAGACCCTAAAAGGTCAGAATTTCAAACAAATGTGGATGATGTTATCGAATTTAAATATTAAAATGTGGTATTTAAATTTGCCTAGGCCTATTTTTTTCATGGACAAGAACTCAGTTTAATCTTCTGCAAAGATAAGTTTTTCAAAGTATGCCCCTATTCTAAGAAATATCCTGTAGGAAAGAAAATATAAGTATCCCTTGGTCACAAAAACAAGAAAAAGTCTAAATTAGTTTCATCTGTTAGAAAATCACAACAAACATTTGTATATTTGACCTTAGAAGTACTGCCAATAAGAAGTAAAACTTTCCCTATTTGCAGATGACATATATTTAGAAAACCCTAAAGACTCCAAAAAACTACTAGAATTGATGAATGATTTAAAGAAGGTCATAGGATACAAAATATACAGAAATCTGTTGCATTTCTATATACTAATAATGAAGTAGAAGAAAGAGAAATTAAGAAAACAATACCATTACCAATCCCATTGCTCCAAAATAATAAAATACTCAGAAATAAATGTAATCAGGAAGGTGAAAGATCTGTACTGTGAAAACTGTAAAATATTGATGAAAAAATTAAAGATGACACAAACAAATAGAAACATATTCCATGCTCATGGATTGGAAGAACCAATATTGTTAAAATGTCCTTGGTTCCCAAAGTAATTTACAGATTTAAAACAATCCCTAACAAAATACCAATAGCAGTTTTCATAGTACTAGATCAAATGATCTTAAAATTTGTAAGGAACCACAAAAGATCTTGAATAGCCAAAGCAATCTTTAAAAAGACGGACAAAACTGGAGATACCAGTGAAATTAATCAGTCAGAGATAGACAAATACCATATGATTTCACTCATATGTGGAATTCCAGAAGCAAAACAAAGAAAAAAAGAGGCAAATAAAAAAATAAAACTTTTAATATAGAAAACAATCTGATTATTACCAGAGGAAAGATGGGGGTGGGGGGCAGGGGGATGGTTGAAATAGGTGAAGGAGATTAAGAGTATACTTATCCTGGGGCACCTGGGTGGCTCAATCGGTTGAGCGTCTGACTTCGGCTTGGGTCATGATCTCATGGTTCGTGGGTTCGAGCCCCGTGTCAGGCTGTGTGCTGACAGCTTAGAGCCTGGAGCCTTTTTCACATTCTGTGTCCCTCTCTCGCTCTGCTCCTTCCCTGCTCATTCTCTGGCTCTCTCACTCTCTCAAGGATAAATAAGCATTAAAAAGTTAAAAAAAAAAAAAAAGAGTATACTTATCCTGGGGTGCCTGGGTGGCTCAGTCAGTTAAGCATCTGACTTTGGCCTAGGTCATGATCTCAAGGTTGGTGAGTTCAAGCCCTGCACTGGGCCCTTTGCTGTTACCAAAGAGCCTGCTGCAGATCCTTGGTTCCATTCTCTCTCTGCCCCTCCCCCACTGGTTCTATAAACAAACAAAAAAACTTTTTAAAAAAAGTACACTTATCCTGTGAGCACTGAGTAATGTATAGAATTGTTGAATCACTATATTGTACACTTGAAACTAATATAAAACTGTACATTAATTGTACTGGAATTATTTTTTAAAAACTTAGAGGTATCATAGTCCCAGATTTCAAGATATACTGCATTTAACATTTTTAGCAAGCTTTGCCAAGATGCACTGGCCATCTGAAATCTTTTTTAAATTATGCCACGCCTATAAATCCTTAAATCCGTAAGAATACTTTAGGAAATTCTGACCTAGAAAATCTCTTAAGTTATTTCCAACTCTGAAAGCCTTTCCTAACTATTTTATTAGCTAACTCTTACAGAGCATTTACTATGTATCTCTCTGTTTCTCTCTTTCTCTGTCTCTCTCTCTCTCTCTCAATAAATAAATAAAGCTTTTTTAAAAAACAGAAAATCAAACAGCTAGTGAGTGGTAGAATAAGGATTCAGACTCAGGTAGTCTGAATGTTGTGGCCAAAGCACAAATCACAGGAAAAGGTAAGATACAGTCAATTAATAGGGGGAAAAAAAGGACTTCAATCTCACTGGGAACAAAAAGTAGAGATAACATGTAAGAGGAATAAGGCTCTAGAGGGGAGATTCCAGGTCCATGCCCTCAACTGCTCCACATTCAAAATTTTCTTGTTATCTGTCAGATATTCAAAAGAGTCAGAAACTTAAACATGTCACAGAATATTTCTTTTAATATTTGAATTTTTTAAAAGCTTATTATTGGAAATGTCATTAAGTCAACTTAACACAAGATTTAGATATCCAGAGACTAGTGAACCTCATACCTATCTGCTTTTATCATCATGCATAGTTCATAATAAATGATCTAATGGATGTTCATTACAGCATTCATTAAAACAGCCCTATCAGGATATCTCCTTGGCAACTGTTAATTAATTGTAGCTGCTTCCTTGGCAACTGTTAATTAATTGTAGATACCTGATAAAAATTGAGTGGTTTGTCTTTGTAAATATTCTAGATGCAAACTTCTCTCTGATAAAGAATCATTCATTCATGCATGGATGAATGTCTTCATTATACAATACTGACTGAAAAGCTATTTATGCTGGAATAAGACTAACAAGTTACTTGCTCTCACGAAGTGTTAGTCTAGCAGGGGAAAAATAATTAGTAGGCAAAGGAAAAAGATTTTGATTTTCAGAATTAGACATTTAATTAAATAAAATATTTAATTACATAATAAATATTTTCAGTGATAAGTGTTAAGAATAAAAGGAAACAGAATAATACATATAAGGTGAAGGTGCAAAGGAGACTTTAGTTTGGGTAATGGGGATGGACTATATAAGGAGAAAATGTATCAGAGTTGAGGAAAAGCATCCAGCTTATTGGAAGATTTAAGGGAAGAATATTACAGTCAAGAGAAACAGCAATGATAAAAATAACAATCATAGAAATTATATGCACTCATACAAGTTTTACATATATAATATGACCATAGGTTGGTAAATAATACACAAATTACTATGGAACTTGCAACTTCAAATTACTAGACAAACTTACAAATGAATCTCAGTAATCAGCAAGATCCTTGGTTCAGGCAGATGAAGATCAAATTGTCAGCATTACTGGTAGAGAATGTGGCCCAAACTTGTGACCAGGTCCTAATATTTGCTCCCTGACCTATGGTGGTGATCATGCCTTCAAGGCCAGGCATTTGTAAGGGGAAATCATACCAGTTGGATTTCTCTGTGGGGATGGAGAGATAGGCCACAGACTCAAAGGTGCTTACCATATGAAAGGAGCATAGTCAACTGAGGGCATCCCTCAGGCAGGATGGCATGAACTGCATAAGGAAAACCCACATGGGAATCCACTGTTGGAGTAGGGAGCTAAAAAAATGGAGATAAGATGCTCACCCTCCTTCTAGTCAGTAAATAGAGGAGATAAAGGCCTGAAGTCTTCCTCTAGCAAGGTATATCTTACCTAGAGCTGATTTCCACTCCCCACCCCCACTTTGCATGGCCAACCAGGGGACAATTGACTATGTGTGCAGATATTTTGGTCATGGAAACAACAGAGAGTGCTTCTGATATGCTGCTAACTATCCCACAGTGTACAAGATAACTGTATTCTAGCTATATTGTAGGACAGTAGGATTTTCTGCAACAAACTACAGTGGGAATTTTTAGTTTCTTCACTTTGGACCAAAATCTTTCACATCCTTCACAGACACATGTTAATATTATGGATTAAAGCTACAATCTCAGAAGAACCTCAGCTTTAGTTGCACTCTTTCTGTATTTTCATTGCTGCTTTTCACATATGTAAATATTGCAAGGTTCTCTAAAACCCAGCTGAAATGTCACCTCTTCTTAAAGTTCTCCCTAATTACTAAGCTATTAGATATTCCTTCTTCTGAGCTCCAATGACAATGTATACATACATTTACCTTAGCACTTATCACCCTGTGAAATAATTATTCAAATAAAGGTCATTCCCATTTAGTAAATAAGTCTTTTCGAGTACAAACTGTGTAAGATATGCTAAATATTCTACAATATCCCAGTAGGCTCCTATATCAAAGAATTTACTTGTCCAAAATGTCAGTAGTGCCAAGTTGAGAACCCCTGAATCCCAGAAGTCTTTGAAACTCCACAGGATTCTTGGTAGCTATGATGCCCACATGGTGCCCACCATAAGAAGTGCCAACTAAGTGAATGAATATATACTCACAAAGAACACTACTAACACAAAATACCATGGTTTCTATTTTATTTTTCTCATAAAGTCTTACTTGTTTCAATCCTGATGAAATTTAAAACGTCTTATGTACATTCAGCTAAAAGGAACATTTTTTGGACAATTAACAGAATGATTATAGTTTAGCAACTAGCACATGAACAAGAAAAGCAGTGGGGTGTGTTATGAACTGTCTTAAAATCTTGTGTCTAAAAGCAGTTTATTTTAAAGGTGTAAAAATGTAAGAAATAATATTAAATGACATCAAAAAACAGAAATAAGAATGTAATAATTTTAAATATATCAAATGTAAGAAATCATATTAGACAACTTGAAAACAAAGGAAGGTAATAATGGAAGGAAACTTTGGTGACAGTAATTAAGCTTTCATGGAAAGGAAGATAATAAATATAAAATGGATAAAATTAAGACAAAAGAAATGCTGTTTTTAAAGTTAGAGAACTTAAATAAGCTTCAGGAAACATTCAGAAAACCTCAGGGGAAAAACTTTTTTATTGTTCCAGAACAAGCAAAAGGAAAAATGTTGTCAGAAGAATGGCAAAGGAAAGGTGGGAAGCTAGGTAATATATTTAAAATATGGTTTCTAGGTATGAATTTATGAACCAGGGGTTTCAGAAGCAGTAACTGAAGACTAGAAGGGGAAGAAAAAATGCTTAGAGATGACATAGAGGCTAGCTATCCCCTCTCACGAAAGCAGTCTAACTTAAACTACACTGATACAAATAAGAAATAATAGTTTCTTAATTATTTTCTTGATCGGCCCACATCTAGAGAACAGTACTCAATTCTGAGTGTCACCTGGCCCTCAAAGATAGGAGATGATTTGGGTTCTGTGGTCCATATGATCTCTGTCTCACCTACTCAATTCCACTATTGGGGTGAAAAATAGCCATAGATAATAAGTTAACAAATGAGCGTGGCTGTGTTCCAATAAAGCTTTACTGACAAAAGCAGAGGTGCCAGATTTGGACCTGACCTGCTTTGGAAGAGAAACATTGATAAAGATAATCAGAGTGTTTAGGGGCCTGGAAATCGTAACATACAGGATTGATTTAAGAAGTCACTCATATTCAGGGGCACCTGGGTGGCTCAGTCAGTTAAGCATTTGACTCTTCATTTTGACTCCGGTCATGATCTCATGGTTCTTGAGTTAGAGCCCTGCATTGGGCTTTGTGGTAACAGTACAGAGCCTGCTTGGGATTCTCTCTCTCCCTCACTTTCTGCCCTTCCAAGCATGTGTTCTCTTTCTCTCTCTAAAAATAAATAAAGTAATTTTTAAAACAAAAAAAAAGAAGTCAGTAATATTTAGCCTAGGAAAAGATACATCATAGAATTAATAAAATTTGCTTTAGGACACTCAGGTATAAAGACCTCCCCATTTTTTCAATTAATAAAATGAATTTTTCTTGGTTCTCCACCACTAAGGCTGGGAAAAATATTTCTTATCAAATTTATGTGATACTGTCCTTAGGGATCAGTGAGAACTAGAGTTTACAGAATCCAGAAAATTGTGCAAGGACCTTTGGTCTTAGGCTCATGGTGGTTCTTTCTAGAATATTTGTTGCCTAAGGCTACATGGTTAAGTCAGATAAATGTGGCTCTGCAACTCATATGATTATTTTTCATTCATTTGCCACATCTGGCCACTTGGTCCTTCACCCTGGCTCTCAAGGGTTTGGTGCTCATCATTTACTTATTGGGCTTGTGGTGGAGCAGCAAGATTTGCAAGAATTCACCATTCCTTAATATTCCCAGGCTCTTTTTTTGTGAGGTCCAGCCACTACTATCCCCTTTCCTAGAAGCACCTATTCAGTGGTATAGACTTGGCAAGAGGGAAGGCAGATGTTCTTCTTACAGTGCTGGCCACAGTTTCACAGCCATCATTGGGCTGGTGGTGGTCCCACACGGCCCTTCTGGACATCTTGAAACATATTTTAATCTGACTGGAGAAAGGAGACATATACATGTGAAAAAACAGACAATTCAAGAAAGCAAGTGGTAACTATCAAGTAAACCATGAAAAAGAAAGCAAATGGTATGTGAGCTAAAAAAGAGGGATAATTTTCAGGTGGAATAGACAAAAAACATCATTTTTCTTTTTCAAATTTTTATTTCCTTCAAGACCTTTTACCTGAGCTATAGTCTCTCTCTCTCCCCCCTCCTTCCTCTCTGTCTGTCTGTCTCTCTCTGTCTCTCTGTCTCTCTGTCTCTCTCTCTCTCTGTCACACACACACACACACACACACACACACACACACACACATACACGCAATACTTTTCTCTAATTCCATTCCAATATTCCCACACTGGTGCTCAATCCAGAAACTATTTTAAATTCCTTCCTTTCCTTTACCTCCCACACCCAATCAGTCATCATCATTACCAAGTCATTTCTTCACCAGAGCATCTTTCATTGCTCACTATGTCATCCATACTGTCTTTGTCTTATTTCTGACCACCCCCCTGCCCCCTCCCGTTACATCCTACATGCATTTCTGAACAGTCTTATTTGGCCTCTTTACTAATATATCCTCTCCCCATTTCTCATACTGTTCCAAGCTGCCAGAGTGAGCTTTCTAAAATACAAATCTGATCTAAATCTTATAGGCTTCCATTGCCTTCAGGCTAAAACTCAGATTCCCTGGTTTCATATGGATGACCTTATAATATAGCCCTTGCTTACATAATATTTCCTATTTTTTACCAGTTTTCTCATTTCTTCTTATTATTATTTTTACTAACCTGCCATTCCTTTAAATGGGCCATGATCTCATTCAATCCACCTCTTTGACATTTCTTCCAAAAAAGACCATGTCCTCTGATTCTATAGTCTGATCAATGTTCCAGAATGAAATGAAATGTGAGTAGAGTCGTTTACTCCCAGCACTGAGAAAGTACCTCTCCCTGTGCTCTTTAAAAACCTACACATATATCTTCTACGACATTTACTTCACTGGGTAAAAATTGTCCATTGTCTTAGCTATATATCTCAATATTATGAGCTACTTGGCAATGTGAACAATACCTTTCATATTGATAACCCTAACAGTTGAAAGTTAATAGGAAATCAATATATTTATGTTATTGAATAAATAATACTTAGGGATGTACGGGTAAAGACATTTTGAAATGTGTGAATGTATGGGCAAGAAGAGCATTAGCAAAGGCTTAAAATATAAAACTGATCTTCCCAGAGTGACCACTAATCTCCATGTTGTCAAATCAAGTGATCAGTTCTCAGACCTATTAGCAGTTTTTGTCCCGATCTGTCATTTCCATCACCTTGAAACACTTTCTTTACTTGACTTGCAAGTCTATATGCTTCTGGTTTATTTTCCTTGTCCCTTGTCACTTCTCAGACTTTTTTTGATGTCTCATCCTCATGTCATCTTAGACTTACTCTCTTCTCATCTGCGCTCAGTCCCTTAATGATCTCATGTTTTCAAGACCTGATGCTGTCTCTTTGCTGACCGTGCTCAAATTCTCTTGCCTGGACTTCTCTAAACTCTAGGCTTGTGGATGTAACTGCCTGCTTGACATCTCTCATTGGCTTTAGAAATAGAAATTTCAAATTTGACATCTTTTTTTTTCCTTCTACTTTATTGTGGTATAATAGAGAAATTAAATGTAAGGTATGCGAAGTATATATGGGAATTATTTAATGTACATTGTGAAGGGAGTCCTCCCATACGGTTAATTAATACATCAGTCACATCGAATATTTACCATTTTTGTGGAGGTGGGTAGGTAGATGGGTGGGGTTGAGAATATTTAAAGCCAGATCTCTGATCTACCTAAATCCCTTTTCTACCCCATCTTCCTTATCTGTCTATTATAACTTCACCCTTGTAGTTGCTCAGACCGAAACACACTGGTAGTTACATTCGATTCCACTTTCTCTTACTCCCCACAGATATTTCAGCAACAAAACACCTGACTCCAATTTTAAATATGTTCAGCCAACCACTTCTCACCACCTTCACTGCCAGCACCCTGGTCCAACACTACCATTTCCTCTCATTTGGCTTCTTCCTTAGCCTCCTACTTGATCTCCTAGCTTCTACTTTTGCCTTTCTCGGTCTGTTTACAAGTCTGCAATCACAGAGAGCCTTTTAAAATAATTCACCTCAGTCACACTCTTGATCCAAACCTTTTACTGACTCTCCATCTTACACAGAATCAGCCTACATCTTAACATGGGGCTATAAACCCTCAGATTATCTAACTTCTCATTATCATCTCTTGATACCCTTTCTCTCACTCTGCTTCAGACACAAGGTCTCTTAGGATGTCTTCAAGCAAGCAACATGTCCCTGCTTTAGAGTCCATGCACTAGCATGCTCTTTCATTTACTTTAAGCTTTGACTCAAATTTCATTTTCTTGGTAAGAACTTACCTGGATCTCCTTATGTAAAAAAAAAAAAAAAAATGCAGTCTCCCTATATAAATCCCCCTAGATAATTACTATAGCCACTTTAAAGATAAAGGACCTAAAATTTCTGAGATTTGAGTCTATGAAGCCTCTAGAATTTCTGTATAGTCAGGATTTAAGGATTGCATTTTGGTTAGTAGGATAAAAACTTGGAACTCCGAAAAACACGATCTTTTCTTACAATGTATACCGTACTTGAAAATGGCTTAAAAAATGCTGATTGCACGTGGCTTGGACTAGGATACTTCTAACCTTTGGCACCAAATCTTGCCCAAGGTTTTGCCATTGCCATTTCCTTTAATGGTGCCAGCGTCTCAGCCAATATTTTTGGGAGACAATGAATACAATAGTCTGTCTATAACAGAAATTCATTTAGAGAAGTAGAAAATGACAAGACTGATGAGAAGTTGTGGCCATATTGTGAGGCTTTAGAATGCTTTGCTCAGAATTGTGTTCATTCATTGGTTCCCAAGCCTGTGGTGATTCTTAAAAATATATTTGTTGTGGACCCTCGTGCTGGTATGGATATTTAACAAGCTTCCTGGATTTGTATTAAACAGCCAGCTCTGTATTCCCACCAATAATTGGCATTTGGAAACATAGTAAGCAGGTGGCAGTTTGCAGACATTGTTTTATATTTACAGTTTGCTTCTCTCTATAAAATACCCCCATTTCTCTGCACTATAAAATCGGATAAATCTGACAAGGGGTGAGTGGAATGTCTTTTGGAACAATGTGTCATGGATTGTCTCACAATAGTATTTTTCTCCATCTGTTACAGGTCAATGCACAAACTGGCCCAGTTGGAAAGACTTGACCTAGGCAATAATGAATTCAGTGAGCTGGTAAGTGAATGTATTTTCTAAACTTGATAAATACACCCCAGGAAATTATTTGTTTTGCTCTGTCTCTGAAACTGCAGGTATAAAATTATCCAAGTGCATATTTACGTTTGCTAAATATAAACACAAAATGGAATCCGGGAAATAAAGTGGTTGTTTGACTATATAGTAAACTGCATAGAACTGGATAGTATTAGATGCACTAAAAGAGAGAGAGAGAGAAAGGAAGAGGTAAGCAGATACAAATGGACAATTTTGAGCACCATTTATGGAGCAGGCACCAAGTTCAGTGTGTCACTTATATTATCTCACTTAACCCTTATTTGATATGTTGCCATGTTAACTTTATGGAAATGTGCTCAAAGTGGTTACCAACTTAACCCAAGACTTGATTAACTCAAAGCTTATACCTTGAAGACTTCTGCCTTTAGGGATGCTTAGGGAAGAGGAGTGGTTAAAATCCTTCTATTTCTAATTGTACTGAGAGTGTCTTTCCAGTGAATACATATTACAATCTCACTGCCACCAAAACTGAAAGAAATTCTGACTTCTCCTTTCAGGGCTTAAGTTCTCTTTAAAATTTACCTAAAGACCAGAATCTCAAATGCAAATCAGAAAGCAAATACTCTTTTATAAGCAGACTTTTTAATTCAGAAGTCTCCACTTGAACATCTTAATTCATCTGAAATGTAGTTTAACTATTTTTAAATTAAAACATGTAATTAAGTAATCAACTATTCTCTCCAGTTGTGCTGCTAACAATGTGACCTTGTGCAAATCACTTCACCTCTCTAAGCCTCTTTTTCATTTGCTGTATAATGGCTCCTCCCTTGCAGGGCTTGTGTGAGAATTAAATGAGATAATGCGTGGAAAAAAGGGATTCTCAGTAAATGCCGGTAGATAGGATGTGATTTGCACTGCATCTTGGATATACAAAGAAATTAGCTGTTTGCCTTTGACCATAACTAATCTGGCCATTATCCCAGCCTCTGTCAGTTGTTCACTGAGTGTAAAAGCTGATTTTTATTCTTCTGCAATTAAAAGTTTCATCTGATTTAAGAAGTTACAAGATTCCTTTGGGCTGTGTTCATCTTCCTCAAATAAAAATCCTTTCTGTCATGTGTCCTCTCACCTTCCTCAGCTTCTCTTCATAACATGGAACTTGGGTATGTGCGAAGGCTACATGTCTTTCTGACCTGAGGGAAAGGGACTCTCTGGTCTCAGGCTGGTTTTCAGAAGTGTCCTGGCAGACATGCTGGCCTCTGGGCTGATGTCTCCAACTGCCCCTGCCCCTTGTGTAAAGCTGGAGTTCTGAAGCCATAGTCAATTTTCTGGGGTCAAGCAATACTCCCTTCGAGCACTGGCCATTTTCCCCTGTTTGCATTGCTACCACTCGGATCTCAGTGGCTGTATCTAAGAAATCATCACTTGAGCAGAAACGTTTTTTTTTTTATTTTGAACTCCCAGTATTCTGTGTTAGTCACAAAAGAAATCTCTCTAAAAGAAATTTTTTGCATTTGTTCTAAGACCCCTTTTTTATTGATAATACTCAGTTACTTGGCAGAGGGAGGAAGAGATAGGAATATAATTATGGAACTTCACATTTCTAATGTCATTAACTTTTAATCAAATGTCTGACTTTTATTAGTCATATGTGTGGGACTAGCTGTTATTTCTCTGAATGTAACAACTTTTAATGAGCAAATAAGAGAATTCGCTTCGATAAGAGGCCTCTAGGTACTTATCATGTGCAAGAAAGTGGATAAATTCCATTCTGTAGCTAGACATTGTCGCCTAGGAGATTACTGTTAGAAAATTCATTTTGTGTGATGTGGTAAACAGACAGATATGGAGTGAAGATGATAAGTAAAAAAAAACCTTGCAATGTGAAAGTCTAATGAAGAGAACAGAAGTTAGATTGAGACTCAATGTAAATATCCTAATGAGGTTTGAAGTAGAAATATCTACTTAAGGGTGCCTTTATAATAATGAAAAATCCTAAACAGAAGGAATTATTTTATGTTTCTAACAGCAGTAACCACCAGAAAATACTGGGCAAAGTTCTGGGAACATAATAGATTCTCAAAAGTTTTGTTGCTGTTGTTCTTTCGTGGCTTATTTTTGTCAATATAAAATTAATACATTCCCATTAATTCTTTAAATATTTATTTATTTTGAGAGAATGCACCCAGGAGGAGGAACAGAGAGAGAGAGGGGAGAGAGAATCCCAAACAGGCTTGGCTCTGTCAGCACAGAGCCCAACTTGGGACTCCATCCCATTAACCATGAGATGACGACCTGAACTGAAATCAAGAGTCAGACACCTAACTGACTGAGCCACCCAGGCGCCTCTCCATTTTATTAAATTTAAAAGTTAAAAGGATTCTAAGAATGATAGTAAAAGTCATCCATGATCTCATCCCCTTATAAACCCATTTTTAGTGGTTTTGGTATATTCTCCCCCCGACTACCATCATTTTCTATTTAATGAGGTCAGATGAGTATTTTTTGTGCCAGATCAGAGATGGGACACTATTAGGTTGATGTGTTAGATAACATTAATTCATAAAGCTCTTCTATATACAATGGGTAGAACAGCCTTCTAACTGCCACAGAACAATCAGAAACTTCCCATAGCCATAGAATAGTCAGGGACACTAAAACAGATTCAGGATTGCCATGGGGCCCAGAAGCCATATTTCAGGTATATATAGATCTATCTGATGAACTAAGAGTCCTGTTCATCCTGAACTAGTAGTGGAAATAACAGAGCCCCCCAAAATCAAATCACCATGAGTGAGAAGAATACTGGAAAAGGAAGCAGATTGAGCAGTAGAGCCTGGGGGAAAATGGAATCTGTGGATCCAGAAACAGGATGGGGCTATGGCTGACGGTCCTCCTAATATAGCCCCAGCTTCTAGCTCCCAGTGTTTTACTCCCTGCCCTTCCCCCTCCTTGCATTCAAGGAGGGCCCTTGTAATAAGAAAGAGCTCCCAACAACTCTCCCAAGGGAATTTCATCAAGAGTCAGCTCTAAGAAACAAAATAAGAAAGCTTCTTTGCAAACCAGAGAGAGAAAAGAGCTGAGCCCAGAGGAGGCAAAGAGCAGACTGCCAAGTGGTCTATGCATGGTTCAGAGTGCAGCAACATAACAGAGATGAACCATGGCATGGGCAACAACCTGCTGAAGGCAGTGAGTGACGGGGGTAGCAGGAAAAGAAAACAGGGATTACAGAGGTCATTGGAAGAGCATCTCCTGTTATGTGGGAGGTTCCCTATTCTCCACTCCCCTTCCTGACACAAAAGGACTCCTACAAGCAGTCACCAGGGAGGAGGATCCCACGAAAGGCCTGATTTCTTGATCATTTGCTCGTTAAGTGGAGGGAGGTCAGAGAAGTGAGATTTCACCATAACTGTGACATTAATAATACATACTGGTTATGTGTGTTTTTATAGATATATTTCTGTTTACCAAATTGGAATTACAGTGTGTATTCTATTTTATATTGCATAATTATCAAATTCAAATAAATAAATTCTTTGCAGACATTATGCGATAGAAGTTTTCTCTGCAACTAAATTAGGAAGGCTGTCAATTAATAGCCAAAATATAAATAGTAAATTGAAATTCAAACTTTTGAGAAAATAATAAAGTCAGAGAGGCTTGAAATTATATAACATAAACTTTTATGCGTATAAAATAGTATGTGTAATATATGTTTAAGCTACAAAGCATCATAAAATGCATCCCTGTGCACCCACCACCATATTCTTATGAAATAGAATATCACCAGTCCTGTATTGCCACCTATTTTCTCTAACCTAATTCTGCCTCATTCCCAGAGATAACTACAATCCTGAATTTTAACATTCCCTACATTTTTATATATGTCTAAACATTATATTTTTTCACTTTGCTTGTTCTCAGACTTTCTAAAAATATGACTATATTACAACTTATTTACCTATTTCTTCATAGTCATTTTTGTCCAGTTTTTCTAAATTACATTGCTAACATGAATATTCCTTTAAGTGCACATGTGCAAGAATTTTTCTAAGGCATATGTTAGAAAAAGAATTTCCTAGTCGTTAATTGTGCCCATATTCAACTTGAAAAACAATGCTCTTTGTTTTTTTCTTTCAAAATAGTTGTACTAATTTACCAGCACTGCATAAGATTCCCCATGTTCCACATCTTCACCTACACTTGATATTGTCAGACTTTTTTTCCCTGTATAATGGCTGACAGTGTCTATGATACTATCATTATAATCATTATGATCTGAATCTGAATATCCCTGATCTTTCATGAGATTAGTGTTTTTTTCCATATGTTGGTGGCTGTTAGTGTTTCCTCTTCTGTGAGATGCCTGTTCATGTGTTTTTTTCCCATATTTCTATTGGACATCTTTTTCTTGTAGACTTACAGGGAACTTTTACACATTCTAGATACTAATCTTTTGTTGGTTATATGTAGCACAGATATCTTCTCCCAATCTCTGCAGTTTTCTTTTTTCTTTCTTCTTGGTGTCTTTTGAGGGCCAGAAGTTCTTAATTGTAATGTAAAAAAAATGCATACTTTTTTATGCCTAGCATATTTTGTGTCTTGCTTAAGGAGTCTTTGCTTTCCCTGGGGCACCTAGATGGCTCAGTCAGTTGAGTGTCTGAGTCTTTTGGTTTGACTCAGATCATGATCCTAGGTTGATGGGATTGGGCTCTGTGCTGAATGTGGAGCCTTCTTAAGATTCTTTCTCTCTTTGTCACTCCTCATGGACTCTTACTCTGTGTCTCTCTACAGTGTGTCTTGGGGAAGAAGAACAACTTGCCTCCCCAAAGTCAAACAGATATTTTTTTCTAAAAGTTTTAAGATTTCATTATTTATAGTCAGGTATATTTCCATTTGGGCTTAATTATTTTACATTCTACAAATTTTTTTTTTTCTGAACAAATAGTTTTCCAAGCAACATTTATAAAGCAGTCCTTCCTTTCCCCCTGAATGGGTGC